ACACAAACACACACACACAAACACACACACACACTTGGAGGGAATGTTGTGTTTGTTTTATATTGTTTCAGGACTATGAAAATGGAAAAAAAGATTAGCCTATGGATTATGAAAACAACAAAGAGAAGTGGTAAAATGGGAGAGGAGAAATGACTAGAGACAGTGTTGTTTAACTCACTGACCATGACCCATTAGTTCTTCTTACCTTTGTTCAGTAGAAAAGTCTCCCTCTCTAAACCATATAGGATGACCCATAGACCGGTCACTCTTCATGGACACACAGCTGGGTACAGGGGAGGCTGGTCTCTCCTGCTTGATTGGGCTTCAACACAACAGAGACAAACATTATTGGTTTGCTTGATGGTTTATTTCAGAGAGACAAATAATGTAGTTTTCTTTGCCAAATGCTATATATCTGTCTCACTCTCAGATAAATAAGTAGTACTGCTAGGTTTTACACAGTCAAATGTAACAAATAAATACATTTTTTATAAACATCTGTACAAATGTACAAAATTCAATACAGTAATATGAGATCTGTACGTAAAACATTTACATTTTCGTCATTTAGCAGATGTTCTTATCCAGGGTCTCACAAAAGCATCTTAAGGGTAAGTTCATCATTAGAATCTATCTAGTTTATTGATAGATCCTTCGTAGGAGCATTGTAAAATCTCTGAGCTGTTTCCCAAAACCATCGTTATTAACGTTGCACTTGAAAACGCTCATATTCTAACACCTGCCTCAGACCACTTGTAGAACAGCCAGGTGCGTCGTTAGATGCTTTTTTGCCCTCCCGCGTCACTTTATACACAGAAGATCTCCGCTAAACATAGAATCACATGGTTTATCCGTCTCTCTGTGACCGCAGATAAATTCAGAACAAAGTTGACTACAAATACAAAGTTGCCAATGTCTTTGCAATTGATTCAAACAAGGGACGTATAAAAATTTGCTTCAAATGAAAACCGAGATGACTGCATTAAAATATGTAGCTCAGTTGGTTGAGCATGGCGTTTGCAACGCCAGGGTTGTGGGTTCAATTCCCACAGGGGGCCAGTAAAAAAAATAAATATATATATATATATATATATAAAAGAGTAATGTATGCAATCACTAACTGTAAGTCGCTCTGGATAAGAGCGTCTGCTAAATTACTAAAATGTAATGTAAATGTAAATTTAAATATATTCCATGTTCAATATATTTAGTTTTATTTTGCTACTTGTAGGCTACTGTCTGTAATTTGTCTCAATATATTTCATGATGTGTAGCCTAACATGTGCCCAATGATGTGCCGAATCTGTGATTTAGTGCATTTGTATTGGGTAAGCACTAGAATAAACTACCTCAATATTTGCAGCTGTAGGTAGTAATATCTTTCTAGAAGCTGATCCGTGGTCAGTATTGTGAAATAATTATAATGTTAAGGAATGATTTTAATGGACAAAACTGATCCGAGAGCAGTTGTCCCTTTCTTTCGATCCTATCAGTATCGATACATTCTCCACCGGACGTGACTGATCCAGTTTCTGCTGGTCTGTCTGCGGATATGGAACTCTGACCTGTTCAACGGACGTGCAACCTTGTCCCGAACCTGCTGTTTTGACCCTCTCTCTCTCTCCCTCTCCTTCTCTCTCTCTACCACACCTGCTGTCCCGACATCTGAATGCTCGGCTATGAAAAGCCAAATGACATTTACTCCTGAGGTGCTGACGTGTTGCACCCTCTATAACCACAGTGATTATTATTTGACCCTGCTAGTCATCTATGAACATTTGAAAATCTTGAAGAACGATCTGAACTTAATTGCCATATCCTCTTATAATCTCCTCCCAGCACAGCCAGAAGAGGACTGGCCACCCCTCAGAGCCTGGTTCCTCTCTAGGTTTCTTCCTAGGTTCCTGCCTTTCTAGGGAGTTTTTCCTAGCCACCGTGCTTCTACATCTGCATTGCTTGCTCTTTGGGGTTTTAGACTGGGTTTCTATATAAGCACTTGGTGACAACTGCTGATGTAGAAAATGTCTTCTGGGAATACATATGAAGCAAACCAGGCCAGGGTTTGGGGTTTGAGAAGTCAATGAGAGGTAAAAATGACTTCCTTAGTTGTTCATTTTGAAAATGTTCTGTCTTAATTAGTTTAACAAACTGACACATTTTCATGTTAGTCAAAAACAACTTTATATCGAAGGAGTGCCTTTGAGTTGACGGCCTGCACATGTGCAGTTCGGCACAAGACGACCATTAGACCCAATGACATATTTCTGCGCATGAGCTTCAAATCAAATCAAATTGTATTTCTCACATGCACCGAATACAACAGTGGTACACTTTACCGTGAAATGCTTACTTACGAGCCCTTTCCCAACAATGCAGAGTGAAAAAGTCACAAAAATTAGCTAAATAAAAAAAGGAAATTGTTACATAATAAAATAACAATAATGAGGCTATAAGGAGAACTGAGTCAATGTGCAGGGGTACCAGGAAGTTGAGGTAATTGAGGTAATATGTACATGTAGGTAGGGGTAAAAGTGACTAGGCAATCAGGATAGAGATTACATCTCCTCATCCAGGGAGTGCACACACACACACACACACACACACACACACACACACACACACACACACACACACACACACACACACACACACACAGGGAATGTAGTGTTTGTTTAATATTGTTTCAGGACTATGAAAATGGAAAAAAGGTTTAGCCTATGGATTATGAAAACAACAAAAATAAATGGGAAAATGGGAGAGGAGAAATGACTAGAGACAGTGTTGTTTAACCCACTGACCATGACCCATGAGTTCTTCTTACCTTTGTTCAGTAGAAAAGTCTCCCTCTCTAAACTTTATAGGAGGATTCATAGACCGGTCACTCTTCATGGACACACAGCTGGGTACAGGGGAGGCTGGTCTCTCCTGCTTGATTGGACTTCAACACAACAGAGACAAACATTACGTCTCTCATCTACTCTGAGCTCAGATTTGGAAACATAACAAGAGTTTCATTCCAAAACGCTATATATCCATATTCAGAAATGTTGGTAAATTAGCTTCTATTGTTTAAAGAAATTATCAAATAAATGGTTGTGTTTTCTCACTAGCTAATCATGGCATGGTGTTGTTCAATGACAGACATGTGTTTGTTTAAAATCGATCACTTAATGGCTTCATTTCAGAGAGACAAATGTTTTTTTTTGCCAAAGCTATTTAGAGTTGTTAAACGGGTGTGAAGAGTGTGTTGGTATGACGGTAATATTGTCAAAATTCCGCTTGTAACAACCATCAGAATTGGTTAAAGAAATATGCATTCCATTATATTAGGCAATAATGAAGAGTAGGCAAAGTGTTCGTGTCGTGAAAATTCTATCAAATGTCTTCCATTGCAACGAGTCCAGTCAGGGTGCTGCAGAACCCCTGCAGTACCTCCGCTGACCCCGGATTGAGAACTCCTGATTTAGCAGATACTCTAATCCAGAGTGATTTACAGTAAGTGCATTCATCTTAAGATAGCTATTTATTTTGTAAATAAAATTAATACATTCTTCATAAAATTGTCATCTCACCTCTTAGCTTTGGTGTCATATTCCCCAGAAAGACGCATTTTAGAGGCAGGGCCCCACTCCTCTCTCTCCCCAGAGAGACTCCTTTTAGAGGCAGGGCCCCACTCCTCTCTCTCCCCAGAGAGACTCAATTTAGAGGCAGGGACCCCCTCCTCTCTCTCCCCAGAGAGACTCAATTTAGAGGCAGGGACCCCCTCCTCTCTCTCTCCAGAGAGACTCATTTTAGACCACTGACCCCTAAACAGAGATGCAGCATGTTGGTTGTGTTGAACACAGTGACAACTCATTCTAGAATGTCAATTGTTCTCTTTTACTCATGATCTCTTAGAAATAAAACATTTACTAACAGACATATCCAAACAGTCGGGTGATTTAATTTAATCACATGAACATTGTTACATTCCTCAACAATAAATAAAACATTGTCTCTCAAACAGAAGAAGGAACTAACAAAGAGTCACTAACAACAACCAAAACGAAACAGGTGGTTTTAGGAGGGGTTCTGAAAGACACTCATGGGGGTGTCCACTAGTGGTGGGAATCAGAGGCTTTCTGAACGCTTTGGGGCTTTCACCAAATTGTGTCGAAAATGCCATTGATAGATTTGAGTGCTAATAAACAACATTTAGTTAGAATGTGGGGTTCGCTTTTTGCCTCCAGGTTCACTTTGTTTTGAAAAACGATGCATATGTGACTTTCAACGTGGCACCGTCATAGGATGCCACCTTTCCAACAAGTCAGTTCGTCAAATTCCTGCCCTGCTAGAGCTGCATGTTTTTTTCATTTTTATTTTTTATTTTTTTATTTTTATATTGAGTCTTTCCAAGTTATTACACATTTCATGATTTACAATCAGATTACTTCGTACAGTTACATTCATTTAGATGGGTCAGAGGGGCATGTACATTCAAGGTCATGGACATTTTTACATTGCTCAAATGCAGTGCTTCTCAGTCCTGGTCCCGGGGACCCAAAGGGGCGCACACTCCAACCCCCGCCCCCTCCCACCCCCGCCCTCTCACACCCAACCCAAACGAGAGGCTCCATGATGAGTTGAATAAAGTGTGAGTGAGAATGCGCACTAGCAAAAGCGATTGGACCCTGCATTGCCCTGGGCAAGATTAAACCAGTAGGTGAAAGCCCAAAAAGGGCCACCAGATGACACACTTCTACATTGACTGCAAACATCATAGACTGTTGTTAATTAATGCATTAAAAAAAAGACAATTTGCTCTAAAACAGCCCACAAGTTCTTTAAATGAATCATTGCTTAACTATATTTTATGCATGACAGAAGAATCAGTGCAGAGCTGAAAGCAGGCAATAGTTTGACAACCTATGCAGTTGATTTTACAGGCAATCCCTTTTGAATGCTTCTCTTTTCTGACCGCGGACAAACAAAGGACAGGAAGAGGTCCACTTCATTTTGGATCACCACGGGGGCGGGTGAATGTTATCCGGAGAATAGTGGCAGGAGGTCATCTGCCAAACGTCAATGAGGACCACGGGCAAGTCCCTGAATATTTCCCTTAGAGCCATGTCGAGCTGCCAGGAGAGCCAGTCGCTGCCGTACACATCCTTGTAGCCTGTGTTGGCTGATTTGATCACTACCAGAGTAGTGGGAGATCGTCTTAGCAGCGACGCCACAGCCCTACGGATGACGACCAGACGGTGTGCATACACAGCCAGTGGGTACGTGGTGAAATGAGCCCAGATGGTGAAGACGACTACAGAGTGTGCACCCCCTGCCAGACCCTCCACCTCCCTGCCGATGTAGTGGAGGTCAGCCCAGGGGGTCTTGCTCATCCGTATAGGTATCCCATGGGCCCGCCAGATGATACGGGTGTTGGACTGGGTGTCGACTGCCTCAAAGGGGCCCGATTTGCTTGATGTGTGAAGGTTCAGGCGTTTCAGTGTTGGCACAGTTTTCTCCAGGTACTCCAACCATTGACGGAGAGTGGAGTCACCCATCATAAGGATCTGTTTGTCCTTCAGGCATCCAGATATCAGTTTAGCTGAGGGAAATGATTTTGAGTCACACACCATGGACGTCCAGCGATCCTGGAGGTAGAATCCAGACGGTACTGGGGTGTGCAAACCAGGACGGCATTTTGTGTTTGGACCTAGAGAGAGAGAAATCATTGTTAGATCATCTGAGCCGAATCTGCATCGCTAGCATGAAATAAAATGTTATTTTCACGTGCCGAATACCGTGAAATGCTTACTTACAAGCCCTTAACCAACAATGCATGAAAAAGTTAATAAAATATTTACTAAATAAAATAAAGTAAAAAATCAAATATACAGGGGGTACCGAGTCAATGTACGGGGATACAGGTTAGTCGAGGTAGAGGACGCTGATTTGTGATAATGACACCAGTTTGCAAGTTGATAACAAGCCAGGTTTAAACCAGATAACAAAGGATATGACTTGTTTAAAGATTGTGACTTATGTAGGTAGCAAGGTACTGCTGTATTCTGTGTAGTGGTATTACAGTAATGCACGGTACTGCTGTATTCTGTGTAATGGTATTACAATAACCCAAGGAACTGCTGTATTCTGTGTAGTGGTATTACAGTAATGCAAGGTACTGCTGTATTCTGTGTAATGGTATTACAATAACCCAAGGAACTGCTGTATTCTGTGTAGTGGTATTACAGTAATGCAAGGTACTGCTGTATTCTGTGTAATGGTATTACAATAACCCAAGGAACTGCTGTATTCTGTGTAATGGTATTACAGTAATGCAAGGTACTGCTGTATTCTGTGTAATGGTATTACAATAAACCAAGGAAAATGCTGTTTCTGGTAATGGTATTACGTATGCAAAAAACTGCTGATTTGTGTAAGGGGATTACAAAAACCCAAGAAATGCGTATTTTGGTAGTGATATTACAGTAAGCCGGCGCTGTATTTGGTAAAGGTTTAAATAACCAAGGAACTGGATTTGTGATGGATTACAGTAATGCAAGGTACTGTGTTTCTGGTAGGTATTTCAAAACCCAATATGTGTTTTGGTAAAGGTATTACAAAACCCAAGGAATGCTGTATTCTGTGTAATGGTATTACATAAAACCCAAGGGGAATGCTGTTTCTGTGTAATGGTTTACAGAATTTCAAGGTACGCTGTATTTGTGTAAGGTATTAAATAACCCAAGGAATCTGTATTTGTGTAATGGTATTTCAATAAAACCCAGGAACTGCTGTATTCTGTGTAAAGGATTACGTAAAGCAAGGTTTCTCTGTATTCGGGTTGGATTAAGTAACCCCAAAGGGATGGTATTTGTGTAATGGATACAGAACCCAGGAAAATGCTGTATTTTGTAAGTATTCTAACCCAAGGTCTGTTTTATTTTGTGTAATGGGATTACAGTAACCCAATGTATGTGTATTAGTTAGGGTATTTTCGTAAAACCCAAGGTACTGTGTTTTTGTAATGGATTTCAGTAACCCAAGGTATGCGTTTCTTTTTGGGAATGGTATTACGTAAACCCAAATTTTGCGTATTTGTGTAGTGGTTTACAGTAACCCAAAATATGCTGTATTTGTGTAAAGGGTTTTCAGTAACCCAAGGGACTGGGTGATTTGGTGTGGGTTTCAGAACCCCCAAAGGGGGGCGTATTTGTGTAATGGATTAAGTAAAAAGGGGGAAAGGGGAATAGTTTTTTAGGGACTTACGGGTTTTCCTTTCCCTGTTTCTGGGCATGTACACTGAATTTTTATATGGTAAAAAAATTTTGTGAATCTGCAAAAAATAAAAAAAAATTTTTGGTGTGAAGAAAAACAATCAATAATTTGGAGACACTACCATTAAGTGATGGAACAGGATGCAGTGCAGTCATGGTTTGTACACATTTCTGCTAACATTGGGTCTACAGCAATTTACTTTATTTTCCTGAACAGCATGAATTGTCAATTCACCAATGTTATGTGAGTTCCTCTTTCCCCAACATAAAATATTCTCAAATAATAGGATAGGATTGTGTTTGGATAACAAGAGGGGCCACATTAAATCAGATGGTGGGTAAACAATGACCCCCAACCTGCATATTTGACACCCGATTGAAAGATATCTACCTATTAAGAAGAGTTGTCTCCAACTTGGAGAGTACTGCCTGGTAACCACCCATGCTGTGGTAGGTCAAAGCATGGCAGGGCAGGGAAGATGGCCGACGACAGAACCAGGACTCTCCGGTGACTGGCTCTCTGTACTCACAGCAACACTGCAAGTCATTCCCCACCAGCCTAGGACTTCTCTGGGCATTGCACATCGTTGTTTCCTGCTTGCCACCCTCCTCAAAGTAGCCTTGGAAGTAGACCTTATCTGGGTCCTGTTCCCTTTGCCTGCACAGTACCTGCACGGCCTCACTGGAGTGCACTAGGCGGATGGACACCTTGGCAGGTCCGGGCCAAAGCAGGGCCAGGCGGGCAGTGTAGGTGCCATTAAAGTGGTCTGTTACAGCTCCATAAGTACTGGCCTTAAGTTCTGCGTTAAACAACTTGGCCTGAAAAAAGTCCCCTCCATAGGTTTTGATCCTGTTTTTAGTATCTCTAGCTATCAAAATGACATCTATAAACCCTCCAACTGTGTGGTTTGAATTGGGGTTGACAACAGAGAATGAGCACTTAGTGGGGTTTGTGGCCTCATCTGTGGATAAGAGGTCAACAGGCGGTAATGTCCATTGTAGCTTTGTGACCAGAGATTCCCATTCCATCTGTGGATAAGAGGTCAACAGGCGGTAATGTCCATTGTAGCTTTGTGACCAGAGATTCCCATTCCATCTGTACTTATTAAGGAGTCATTGGTTGGCGTAAATGTCCTGTTGGTGATTCCATTACAAATATCAACATGTGGAGTTTGAGTGGTAATATATGGGGTATGAGTGGTAATATATGGAGTATCAGTGGTAAAGGTAGTGTGGTTGACTTTAAGGTAATGTGAAAGAATATTCAATTGGCAATGGTTGTCTCGACACACCTGAAATAGAAAGACATGGTAGCCCTTACTACATTTAAAATATGATCTCATGAACTCTGCTATATTCGATGTTTGTCCAAAAGATGCAAATGTTGAACTGCATGCTCAACGATCCTCTTGTGGACAAAATACTGCCACTGCTAAATTGCCTCCCGGTGTATAATTTCATCTTGGAGAAACATTGAATGTAGCAGTGTAAAGCTGGGAAACAGGCTGTCAAGTTAACAAGTAACTCTTTGAATGATCAATAACTAATAATTCCATGAATCATTATTTTGACCAAAACCTGAGCAATAAAAAGTAATCTGACTGAACAAAGGCAAATTAAAATGGCATTTTAAATTAGATTAGACCTTAATGGAGCCTAAGCTTTTTAATGATTTCAAGCATCTTACAGTACTTGTATTTATATGTCTTATAATCATTTATAAGATCAAGAATATAAAAAGTGCTTTAGAACTTACTGACAAAACAAAATGGTGATTGTTACCACCATAAACAATATCTGTAGCCGCAGTCTTCCCATTCTCAATCTGTTGGTAAATCAGAAGGTAAAAGATTATCAAAGTTTGAACAGACAGGAAAGGCAGCTCTCCAAATCTTGAATATGATGGACAGGAAAATGTCAAAATTAGAGCCATATACATAACTTACTTTTGGACAGTTTTACTTTTTATGAGTTCCTGTGACATTTTTTGTGCAGGGCCCCAGTATTGACTAACTAACAATACTACTGGAAATATGTTTTCATTCTCTTAAGGGTTCTTTTTTTTTGTTTTCCTTTTTCAATTTTTTTCTATTTTTTTGTATTTTTAGTTTTTATTTTTTTTAATGGATCAGCTTAATATTGCAGATAGATTGTATCTTCTATCAATGTAATTGTCTGCATCACTTCCAATCCCCCATGTTTTTTAAATGTTTTTTTAAATATATATATATACTCCCCTTTATTACTTTTCAACCCCACCATCCTTTCCCTACTTGGGGTAAATTAGTGAACAACAATGCCCAGGCCTCTACTTCCGGTCTATACCTACTATCTACACCTTATGGACAGAGTTAATTTTACAATAATTCTATTATATATATATATATATATATATATATTAGGGCTGTCAAAAATAGCGCGTTAACGACGTTAATTAGTTGTTTGCTGTTAATTACGTCAATTTTTTTAACGCATTTCACGCATGCGCAGTGTGACAAATTATTCAGGTCAGGAAAGTGGTTGGGAGCTAGAGGCGAGATGGAGCAAGGTGAGCAAAGTGGGCCTATTGACGGATTCAAATATAAAAAGAATGATGATGGTACAGTTAACAAGTACAAGGTTATTTGCAAGATTTGTAAGAAGGAGTTTCAATTTCACCGGAGCTGTTCAAGCTTGAAGTACCATGTCAACGCCAAACATGCGTTTGCTGGGCCGTCAGATTCAGCAAGTGGTTTGCGCCAGACCACGCTGAATGTTTGCAGGCAATTAACAAAATCAACCTCAGATAATTTGACCAACACAATAGCAAAATGGATTGCAAAGGATTGTAGACCCATTAGCATTGTAGAAGACTCAGGTTTCCTTGATGTTTTGCAAGTGGCGTCTCAAGACTCATTCTATAAGCCACCGTCAAGAGCCACAGTTATGAAGAAAATCCACGAGCTCTATGAAAACGAAAAAGAAAAAAGGAAAGAGGTCTTGGCTCAAGTAAATCATATCGCCCTGACAGGAGACCATTGGACATCAGTGAGTAACAACAATTACCTCGGAGTAACTGCACATTTAATCAGTGACACGTGGGAACTGAAGTATTTTGCGCTGACTATATTAAAAACTGAGGAGCGTCATTTTGCGGAGGCTTGTAAAGAACAGTTCCTGTCTGTTGCACGTGAGTGGGACATCGAGGGCAAGACTACAACCATTGGGACTGACAGTGCACGCAACATGGTTGCCGCAATTCGACTTACACGCTATGAACACATGAACTGTGTCGCTCACATGGTGCAGAGAAGTGTCACAGTGAGTCTTGCTGACAGCGGCTTTGTAAATGCTTTGGCCAAGGCTCGCAAAGTTGTCGGTCATTTTAAGCACAGCCCAGCAAATGCTGCGGAGCTTCAAGCACAACAAGTCAGCCTGGGAAAGAAGCAAGAGCCATTGATCCAGGATGTTCCAACACGTTGGAATTCGACGCTGGAAATGGTCAAGCGCGTGAGCAGAAATAAAGAGGCTGTCATCGCAGCCCTGGACAATCAGGAGCACAAACTCGTTTTGCCGACCGCAGCAGAGTGGGATAAACTGCAGAGGCTGGAGACACTTCTAGAGCCATGCAGGTAAATCAGTCTGTAACTTATCAAATAACATCGCTTTGATTATTTTCTGGAATGAATTAAACCAAGTCAAATATCAATAACATGTATCTATGTAAAAAATAATGATGATGATAATAATAATAATAATAATAATAATAATAATATGTTGATAACCACTGTTCTAATAATACACTGTCTCTGTGTGTTTGTGTGCGTAGGTATGTAACTGAGCTCCTGGGTGGAGAGGCCTATGTCTCCTGTTCTGTGGTACTACCTTCTCTCTGCCACTTGCGTCTCAAGATGGAAGCCTGTGATGAGGACCTTGCATATGTGGTGAGATTCAAGACCAAGTTCAAGGAGGACCTAGCATCCCGTCAAGAAAAGCTCAACAATGCATGGCTCCAGATTGCTACAGTTTTGGATCCTCGTTTCAAAGACTTGAAATGCCTGCCCAAGACAGACAGGGAAGAGGTGTGGACCACACTTGAAGGGATGCTGCAACAAGAATCACCCAGAAGGTCTTCACAGACACATGATGATGGGCCACCCAGGAAGAAAATCAGCCTTCTGCAAATGGGCTCAGATTCAGAATCAGAAGATGAAGAGGTCCAACCTGCCATACAGAGGTACAGAGCAGAGCCCACCATTAAATTGGAGGACTGCCCCTTGAGGTGGTGGGCATCTCATTCAGGAGCCCATGAGAAGCTGGCCTCACTAGCTCACAAATATCTAGCCACTCCTGCAACCACTGTTCCCTGTGAACGACTTTTCTCAGTTGCAGGTCACATTGTGAACAAGAAAAGGTCAGCTTTACTTTCAGAAAATGTGAACAAGTTAGTTTGCCTCAGCAACTGGCTGAAAGATGATGAAGCTCAGTAGATTTGAAAGGTGATGTTCAAACAAAAAGACCAGTTTCAGTGCAACATGTTATAGTAGTTAGCAACTGGATTTTTGAGCAACTGGATTAAAGAATGGAGGAAAAGGTAAAAGATTGTTCTTTGGTTTGATTTAAAAGTTTTATTGAAAATGTTTTTTTCCACAGATGACTCAAATTGTGCAAAAATGTGGTAGGTCACTGTTATGATTTGACTACATTTATTGCTTTCTGTTCAATTGAATACTGTAAATTGTACATCCTGGTTAAGAGGAATGCCAAAGAGGAAGTGATGGAACATTACAAAGACAAATATTATGGTGTGTAGTATGTTTCAGCTTGATTTAAAACACTATTATTTGGCTGTGTTAATAAACAGACATAATATGAAAATTATGTATCTGTGTCCTGTTATTTATCTTTTGGTATGCATTTCAGAAAAAAATGGTTAGGATTCAGGTGTAATTGCAAATAGTGATTAATCATGATTAATCCACTGAAAATTCTGATTAATTTGATTTAAAATTTTAATCATTTGACAGCCCTAATATATATATATATATATATATATATATATATATATATTATTATTATTTTTTTGTTTTATTGTAATTTTTTTTGCTCCTGAACTTCTTCTACTCTCAACCTCTCCGATCATTTTCATGATTTCCATCCGGTTTGCTTCTATATGCCATAACTTTCTAACTGTGCTCTTTCCCAAAAGCTCCCAACATACAACCTATATACTTATTATGGACACAGTATGCTTACATTGTTAGCTATCTTTGTTATTATTTGTTGTTATTTGTTATTAGTCCCATCCTTCAACTCTATTCAATACCTCCCATCTATCTCTTAACACCATCCATATAGGATTTCTATTTGCCATATATATTTCAACCGTACTGTGATGTTTTACAAAAGTTCTGAACCTTTCTATTCTCATTGCTTCTACAGATTGTGAATTAAAAATAAACATTTTTGCTAAAAGTATTATTATATTATTGATTGATTGACTATGACTTTTCAGATCACCCAGTAATGCTATCTGCAAGGTTAGTTCCAGGTAAATATTGCAATCCTTTAGCCATTCCTGGACCTGTGTCCAAAAACAAGCTACAAATGGACAGAACCAAAACAAATGATCTAATGATTCTGTCTCTTCACAGCAAAATCTGCAGAGCTGTGAAGATTGTATCCCCCATATAAATAACATTCTATTGGTAGCAAGAATTTTATATAATAATTTAAATTGAAAGATTCTAATTTTTGAATCCGGTGTCGTTTTGTGTGTCAGTTCATAAACACTATGCCATGGGATCGGTACGTCAAAGATCTCTTCCCAACTATTTTGCAATCTATATGGGACGGCTGTCAATCCTTTGGTCCTTAACTCTTCGGAGTCTGGAGCTTTTTTGGCCGTTTTTGGGTACCTTCAATTTTGCCCTGATATACTACATAAAGAAATGTTTACCAGACCAATGTTGGGTATCTTTTTTTTCAGCACAACCTCACCTATATGATCTGTTAGTAAGTTTTTCACTTTGACATACTATTTCAACACA